TGATGGCAAGCGGCTGCAGAAAAAGCGGCCACAGAAGAAGCTGTCACAGAAGAAGGTGAGGCAAGTGTCAGGGTGTGCAAGGCCTGGTAAGTAAAGCAGCTCCACCACCCCCATCCCCACCCTAGCTTACTTTTTACCTGTGTGTCTCCCCCATCCCCTGCACTCCAGAGTGGGCAAGGTCTTAATTAGGGCTAATTTTGTGGGTGGGGCTTAATTTGATCGCATGCACTCAAAAACATGATAGGGCTTCTTTTCAAGATGGGTCATCTTTTTGGAGAAACGTGCGTGTGTGGATTGATTGATTGTATTTGATGGGATGTCTACATTTCCATTAGCTTCATGTTGCCTTTTCCTGCAAAGTTTTCTATTAACTCCTTCTAGGATAACTTTGCACAGACTAGATCCACAGTAAATTTATAGTCATCTAAGTGCACATATATAAGTATTATCTTCATGTTAAGAATATTGTTTGATGACGGAACATCAAGAATAGTTTAAACTTTAATGCAAGGTAAAATAAAATTCACATACTGCATCATGGTTAATAGCACCCTGTATAGTGCTAATTTCAGTAGGTAAATTATAGGAGTTTATGAAAAAGCTAGTGGTAAAAATTAGTGAGATAGCATGGAGTTTAAATATTGCCAAGTTGAAATCTGGGGGTTGAACTCAGTCGAAATGAATAGGTTAAGAATTATGTTAAGAAAAAAAAAACAGAAGACATTACTGATTTTTATTCTGAAAGATTATGGCCATTAATAGTGACATTTCTAATCCACCTGCTGTATGAAGCATTATAATTAATAATAAATTATGCTCTGAAAAGAAAAAGTAAAATCTTTGTCTGATCTTAGTGGACTGAGCAGTCTAGAAAGTCTCCATTTATTAGATGAATGCAGGTGACAAATTGAATACTTGATAGGATATTTTACCATCTGGTTGTTTATATTTTAATATATGTTGTGCTTTTTTTCTGTCATGTGGACTTGTACAGAAGCATGTAAGTATAGACTAGACATAATGAAGAACTTCCTGACAGTTACAGCTACCAATCATTGAAATAGGTTATCCCATGAAGTGGTTTCTTTCCCTTCACCAGAGGTTTTCAAAGGATGAATAGTCATCTATTGGGAAAGATGTAATGAATACTGCAGTATGCAGGAGGCTGAACTAGATGACTCCTTATATTCCTTCAACTTTATGGTTTTGTTGACTATTGGAAGGCTTTTCTTTCAAAATTATAATGTATGCCAATAATTGTTTTCAAGGGGGGAAAAGGCATCAAATGCCTCTAGATAATAATTGTAATAATTGTAGAACATCTTTGCTCATTAACTTTGTTCTTCATAGCATGAAGAATAAAAAGACTAATGAAGATGATTACTGAAGAATGTAGCTGTAGTAATATACCACACAGGAGCCCAGCAAAAGCTATTAGCTAATTATATCTTGTATAAACATTAAAATGCCTTGTACAGTATGAGTAGGGGACAACAAGCTGTTTCCATTTATTTGTGACTTGGCATGTCCCACAGGTTGATTTAGTGCAAGCCATGAACAGTGGGTTGGCTGTGATATCAATAGCTTTTATGAGTGAGTCTTAGTGAGGGGTTGTACTGCTCTCATGGCAAAAGAAAGAATTGCAATAATTGTAAAATAAAAGCAGTAAGAAAAAAAAATGTTTGTTAAGCTTCCAAATATGTCAGTTCTCTATTGAAATAATATATGCACTTGTGAGGCACTTCCTATGTCAATATTTTTAATGTATCAAATTTATACACATAAAAGAGACATACAGTAGTGGCCAAAAGACTTGGTTCACTCCATGGGAAGACGTTGTAAGGCCATAATTCATGCTAAAGGTTACCCAACTAAGTATTAATTGACATGATAATTTTTGTATATCTCATTTTTTCTATAGTGATAATTTTTGTACATCTTGTTTTTTTATGTGTTTCGCTTTTCTTCTTTATACTGTAACTGCTATTCTAATAGCAAATCCTTCATAAAAGTTATTGCATTGCATTCTTGATTAAATTATCTTTCCATTGATATATAATTTTATGATACTACTCAACAAAAAAAAAAGTGGTGTTATTAGCTAGTTTTAGAGACTACACTTTTCCCAAAAGGTTTCCACAATTTTGGCCACTACTGTAGGTAGCAACAAAGCTAAAAACAGAATTAAAAACAAGTTTACACTGAGCTGTGGTGGCACAGCGGTTATAGTGCAGTACTGCAGGCTACTTCTGCTGACTTCTGATTGCCAGCAGTTTGGCAGTTCAAGTCCCACCGGCTCAAGGTTGACTGAGCCTTCCATCCTTTCGAAGTCGGTAAAATGAGGACACAGATAGTTGGAGGCAATATGCTGATTCTGTAAAACTGCTTAAAAAAGCACTGTGAAGCGGTATATTGCTGTACTATTGCTATTAAAAACTTCTAAAAAGCAGCGCGAGCACCTCAAGCCCTCAACCACATCTTAGTTTGCATGCCATTCTTAGACACCACCACCCCAATGCCTTTTGGCAGAGCCAAGTCTTGATCCTCTTCTGGAAGGACAGAAGAGTGGGGGCCACCTTACCTCTGGGGGCAAGAAATTCCATAGAGTAGAGACAACAATAGAGAAGGTTTTCTTCCTAGGCCTCACCAATCAAAATTCTTTAATTGATGGGTCCATAATATATCCTCTCTGCCTAGCCACGTGGGACATTCAGTGTAATTGGGACAAGATTCTTCAGGTAATTTGGTCTCATGTCATGAAGGGCTTTAAAGGTAATAACCAACATCTTGAATTCGACCTGGAAGCAAATTGGCATCCAGTGCAGCTCACATACCAGAGATATTATATGTGCAACCCAATATTGTTTCTGTTGCTGCATTCTGCACCAGCTTCAGTTTTTAAATAATCTTCAAGGTTTGTCCCATGAAGAGTGTATTTCTGTAGTCCGTAGGGGAGATGACCAGGATGTGAGTTTAACATAATCGAAAGGTTATATAATAAAGCACCACATAGGCAACCATATCTACCACCAAGCTATAGAGATAGACGTTTTCATAATATAAGAGCTGTCAAAATATATCCTCAAGCAGGGCTGATGACAAATGTTAAAAAGAGTCATAATAAAGGTCTTCTAATTAAGGTGGAAGAAGAGATGTTAAAGTGTAATTGTTACTATTGATGACAAAGCTATAGTAACCAAACATTACATATGAATTCCTTTATAGATCAGTGTCCCTAATACATTGGTTGATCATGGGCTTGGCTTTTTGAAACCCCACAGCAATCATAAGTTCCCAGGCAAAAGGATAAGACCTGATTTTTCTCTCTATTATCCTTTTCCAGACAGATCGAAAATCTTCTTGGAGAATTACAAGTACCAGGCTTGGCAAAGTAAATATTAATGACAGCTATTGATTGCTAATTAATTAGACCTTTTGAGTGTCAGATAAACAAAAGGCAGAAAATTAATAAATGACTGTATCTCACTTCTTCTCTACTGTGGTTGCACATGAAGTACATTTGAGATGCATCATTAGACAAGTAAAATAGTTCTCAAAAAATTAGATGTGACTTTTCTAATGGGATGCAATACTTACAGTTAACATAGCCAGGCACTGTTTCCATATTACATACCTTAAGTTCAAATGAGATGTGATGCCTGTCAGTTGCACAATGAAATCTAAGGTTAGCTATAACAGTAGCCTGATTGTTCTCAGGTATATATGTGTCCTCCAGGAACCAGACAGATCCTGGAAAAGCATGTCCTATTCTGTTTGGCAAGTATCCAACTGCCACTTTATCTATTTAATATCATAATTTTAATTTGTTGACAGATCTCCTGTTGTATAATTATTATCTCTAAGGGCTCTCTTCAACTCTGTCACCATAGATCGTCTTAGCTAGAATTTTGCCTGTCTGTCCATTCTGAGAGGAGAAAATATGCATAAGGTTTTTTGAAAGTCTCCATTCTGCTTCTACTAACCTCTGCTTTAGCCTTTTGGAAAAATCAGTATTGACTAAGCGTCCACAGTGTCATAGACAATCTTCCTTTTCCAGCATGACAAAAACTCTTTGTTAAAATCAAATCAGCCAGGGACCCAAAACTGAGAATTAGTCAGTTGCCAATTCCCACAAGTATTTCAAAAGTAACAATCCCAGATAGCATCTCATTAAAGAAGCACCAAAGAATCTGGAAAATAATTTTCAGAATTATTGAAGGCAGATTTCCCAGCAGTCTAAACTTATGTAAACACAGAACTGGAAGGTGTATAGCTTATTACTTTAGATTTAAACATTTTGGCCTTTTTGGCATTCGAAGAGAGGATATGAGGCCAATTTCAGGCTTTTTTACAGAAGTTTTATGGGTAAGAATGGGAACAGTTTACTTCTCAGAGGTATCCCACTCCTACTTCCACCCTTAAAATACTTTTTAAAAAGGGGCTGCAAAACTTCAGCCTCTTACCTTTCAGTGATGTCACTATCTTATACAGTTCTTTAAAAGTCAGAAGTCTCACTTGCAACCCATGACTTCTCAAATGTACACTCTTGTTTTATACTCTTGTGTTTTTGCCTATACACTGTGTTTTTGCAAATATTGTCTTTGAAAGTGATTCTCAAAGTCATTTATTTAGGCTTTGAGTATAAATTCCACTGAGAGAAGGCAGTTGGCCTATCTTTGTAGGTTGTGCTGGGCATTCATCCTTACAAATGTTCTGAATTTCTGGTGAGCTGAATTTAGAGCAGATGTTGAAATATATGCATGGCCTATAAGAAGCTGGTTTTGCATTCCAGGCTTTTATTCCCTAAATTGCAAGACTTCATGGAAATTACAGAAGAGAGTACATAAGGCATTGTTCCAAAGCTATAATTAAAGGGGGATTATTAACATGAGACACTCAGTTTTACACTGCAAATGTACATGTATCAATTTAGAAACAAGCTGCAATGACTTGACCAGAATTAGTTTTAAAGAGTTGGTGTAAAAGTGGTGTAAAAGTTTTATTGATAAGATATAACTTTCCAAAACCATGTCATTATGCTAATCTTCTGTAACCTATATTTTTCTCTCCTCTTCTCTCCTCCCTCTCTCTCATTATGGGATGAATTAATATAAACATATACTGATTCAAAAAGGAAGTCATAATAAGTGCCTATTATACTAATATAGGTAATGTACATTAGATAGATTCATGACTCAATTGCCCTTTGGAAAAGCCCTGTTTTTATTACTTCAGAAGACAGTAATAGTGAAAGAAACCAGATGTCCTTTAGGAAGCCATTCCAAAGGATCAGAGCAGCCACTGAAAAGGAACACCAGCAAGCCTTATTCCTCCACATTGCCCTACAATGGAGAACCACTAATAGTTTCTCCCAGGTAGATTAAACTGGGAAATAACTGCAGATAGCTAGGCACCAAGCCAAGTAACTCTTTATAGGTCCTCAATTTACAACCACAATCGAGACCAGAATTTCTGTTGCTAATCAAAGGGAGTTGTTAAGTGAGTCACACCTGATTTTATGAGGTTGATCTCTCCTGCCACCTCACCAATGACTGAGTGGAACTGTTCATCGAGAAAGAAACAGAACCACTGGACAGAGGACTCTTTGCAGGTGATCCAGAGGATACCATGGGACATTTCTAGAGTAGATAGTAAAATGAGCCATAAGGGCTTTGAAAACAATGCAATGATTTGTAGAGGTCAATGTGACTTTATTAGGAAAAAATATAATCAGACTAATGATCTTTTTCATTAGCTGAGTTCATCAATATGTTGTGAGAATGCTGTGGGCAGGATAAACATTGTCTTTTAAAAACATTTGACAGAGTTCCCCAGGACATTCTGTTTTAACAAGATAGTTAAATTGCATAACATAGATTCCCAGTTCATTTGCAAACAGCATTCATAAAGTGATCATCAGTGGTTTCTTCTCAAAGTCAAATGAGGTGTCAAGTAAGCAGGGTGAGACGGTCGGGGTCTTCCCGGCTGCAGCCACACCACGAACGCCGGGATGCTGTCACTGGACTTTCTGGACGATGTTCGGCGGATGAATAAGCGGCAGCTGTACTACCAGGTTCTGAACTTTGGGATGATCATTTCCCCAGCACTGATGATCTGGAAAGGGTTGATGGTGGCAACGGGCAGCGAGAGTCCCATCGTCATTGTCCTGAGTGGCAGCATGGAGCCCGCCTTTCACAGAGGAGATCTCCTGTTCTTGACCAACCGCATTGAAGAGCCGATCAGAGTGGGGGAAATCGTGGTTTTTAGGATAGAAGGGAGGGAAATTCCAATCGTGCATCGGGTCCTGAAAATCCATGAAAAACAAAACGGCGACATCAAGTTTTTGACCAAAGGCGACAATAATGCAGTTGATGATCGAGGCTTATACAAACAAGGACAACATTGGTTGGAGAAGAAAGATGTGGTTGGAAGAGCAAGAGGGTTTGTGCCGTACATTGGAATAGTAACCATCCTAATGAACGATTACCCTAAATTCAAGTATATGGTCCTTTTCCTCCTGGGCTTTTCCTCCTCGTCCATCGAGAGTAACCCATCACTGGCGGAGGCAAAGACCACCCCCTCCGAGTAGGCTGGGATGTGAAGTGTGTCCATTTCGCTGCTTCTTAATCCGGATTTGGGCGTGGTTTTTTTTTGTTTTTTTGTTTTCTACGACTGCTGTGTCTTGGGCAGGTTAAAAAAAAGAGCCTTGATAGTACAGGGGTTTAGTGCACCCTGTAATTAACACAGCTGCCTGCAATTTCTGCTGGTTCGAATCTCTCCAAGGCTCAAGGTTGACTCAGCCTTCCATCCTTTCTAAGGTAGGTGAAATGAGGACCCAGTTTGTGGGGGCAATAAGCTGACTTTGTATAAAACATACAAAAGAATGAAGGCTATTGCTTAACGCATTGTAAGCCGCCCTGAGTCTCCGGAGAAGGGCGGCATATAAATCAAATTAAAAAAAAAAAAAAGTATTGGCTATATAAATTACTGTAATTTTTTTAAGGTGAGATGCTATTCTCCCTTGGTCCACCATGGTGACAAGGACTCCTACTTTTGGGATTGTTAACCCTTAATGTGACAGGCATCAAGGCTGGGTGGTGAGGAAGTTGTAACTTTCTTTTATATGTTCACAGAATGTTCCACCACAAGGAATCATTTGCAAGGGTTCATGGTCTTCACTGGCTGCTCAACAAATAATCAAAAACGTGGGAGAAGATCACTTTTCCCAACTGCCACATGTAGCCTTATCTGATGATGGTGGGGGCTCTGTGTTATCCCTTGTCACATCTGAATAAATGTCTGAAAGTGATTTAAGATGTTAAACCCTAGTGGAGAAAAGCTGCGATATTCTTTCTGCAAAAGGCCTGTTAAAAGGGTAGAGATAAAATACAATCTGCCGTGCAGCAATAGCTTTCTGCCTTGTTTATAAAGTCCAGTTAATGAGCATAGATATTTTAAAAGACTGCAGCTCCATTAGGTACATTTTCTGTTCCACAGGTCAAAATGAACTATACCTCTTTAAGACTTTGTGTTAAAATGTAAATCATAACATTTATTTTGCGCATCAGATGTTTGCTTTTTGTTAAGTCCTTTCTATGTTACTCAATTCTTGCTTTTTACAAACATGGCAGGAACACGAACCAGATCCACTTTCCTAGATGTTTTATTCATAGGTCACATAACTTTCACCTCTCTTTCCATATACCGTTGCTAATTTGCTTGGGAGGTAAACTGTTCTTCCTGGCAAGGCTCCACCAATTAGGAAACTCTCAGCTGCCAGAATTTCAAAAGTATCTGTCCCAGCTATGCTTTTGGGCAGAGAGCACTGTTGGCAATTTGGACCAAATTGTAGTCACACTAAATGCAACTCCTTGGCTGGGTGATGTCCCCTGCATTCCACTTGATAGTAATCCTTCTGATCTCCATCAGCTGCCCAGGACTTTGCAACAGTTGCAGAACGGAGAAGTTAAAAAGTGACAGATACTAAAAATGAATATGAGAAAATAGCATCTCAGTTAGCTGTTGATTGCTTAAGCTATTTATTGAGTGTTATGCTCTTTGCTGACAAGGGAGAGGATGAACCAATGGGATTGGGCTAGCCCTGCTCCCTGGTTTAAAGTTGATCTCTATAGATGCGAACTGCTTCACATAGTATTTAAAGTAACTTTTCTACCTCTCATTTTTTTAACAGGCAAAAAGAAAATGCTGCTTGTATCACAGATAAAACTGTATGCATAGATTACCAAATAATATACTTTCATTTAGTTAATATACAAAATTCACATAAATAACAAAACGGAGCTAGTCACTAAAACAAAGTACAGTAAATATTATAATTCTTAGTGTTATATGAATCTGATGAAATTGGTTCTTCAGTCTAATTTTAAAGTTGATTGGAAAGAGATAAAGACTGTCATGGTTACCCATTTGTGGAAAGAGGAGTATGTGCTTCTCATCAATATTATTCTGGTTCTCCCTTTGGATTCTGATTCATGTGGTAATCAAAACCACAAATAAAAATTAGGCTATAGAAAAGAAGCATTTACATATAGACTTAATTTTCATTGGTAGATTTGAATCTTGTGGTTAATTAAGAAAGGATGGTCAACTTTTACTTTCCAGTTAGTTGTTTCTAACCACAGTTATTTGGTAAAATGAAAAATATATTCTGGACAAATTCTGTTAACTGACAAGACTAAAAAACGAGTATGTTTTACAGAAATATTTTTCCCTTGAGAAAATAATTGCAAACACCAAAAACTAAAGAAGCTCAAACTTATAAAATTAAACAACATTTTTGAATGGGTTGCTATTAGTCATAAGATATTAATATTTAATTTTATACTGGTCTTATAGTGAGGATGTAGATGATTTAGTTCAATTGACATGGCTGATCCTTATTCATACAATATTTCAGTTTTATTGCTTGTATAAAGTGAAGTAGATCTACTCTGGGTGAGGGAGAGCTTAGGCACTGATAAAATCTAGTCAATGCAATATTCCATATTAAATGTAAGCTTTCCAGAGATATTTCTTTTTAATTTAAGTGTGCAAGAAAAACAGTGTTTTATTAAGCCTCTGTTTATAGTTGTATTCTATAGGGACAGGAGGTAGACCAAAAAGTATGCTTTTGCTTTTTTACAAATGATGATAATCAAAAGTTGGTCAATATCAACCGTACTTGAAAATGAATTTAGATTTATTTATTTATTTTTTGTTGTATATATGCAGCTAACTTTCATAAGCAAAGTTATTCTGTTGTTGTGGGGCAAATAGGAGAAAAGTGTATTAGATATGTTTGCAGCTTTTAGTTATTTATAAAAATAATAAAGGCGGATACAAATAAATAAACATGTCTCTTGTATTTCAGTTTTTTAGGATATACAGTAAGAATATGTGAAAGACCTTTGCAAATTCCAAAAGGCCTCCAAACCTAATACTAAATAGACTACTCTGACACTGTTCCTCCTTCATTGTTTTTACTAAACCAGATATTTATTTTATTGACGGTTAAAAATGTCACTTTTATGAGAAACTCACTTATATACAATACTATTAAAACATTGGAATGTGTGAAGTAAGGGACAGGCTCCTAAGTTGCTTTCCTGTCTGTGTTTGCAGTCCTGGCAAGTTCCCTTTTAATGTATGGAGCAGGCTACGCTGAACTGGCTCTCAGAATAACACAGAAGTAAAACGCAGCTGCTACTTTAAGTGGCACTGTGTGATAATAGGACTCTGCTGTTTACTGGGACTCAAGAGCCCGGACTGGTGCACACACAAGCATTATATGAAATCTGAAAGCATGAGGATAAAGGAGATTTCTTTACGACAAGACCCTGATCTGCGAAAAGAATTGGCATTATTAGCTCGTGGATGTGATTTTGTTCTGCCTTCCAGATTCAAGAAGAGGCTCAAAGCTTTCCAACAAGTACAGGTTTGCTTTCTATTATGCATTTGGCTAGAGTATGCGTTTGGGGTTTTTGGAGGGGAGTAAAATTCCTGCTTTGACTGGAAACGAGATCCATGTGCCTTACTACTTAATGATTCAAACTCTGAAAAATCTGGAAAATGTTCAGCTTGGTATAAAAATGAATAAATATATGCCTAGATCAGAATAATTCTTAGAAAACTGCTTTAGTATTTCCCCTATTATTTTTTCATTATTTTTTTTGCCTTCTGACATTTAGTGTGTCCAAAAATTGTGAAAAAATATAACCTGATCCGAGCAGGGCTTTTCTTTATTTCATATTTTATTGAGTAATTTACACATTTGAAAATAAATAATGCATTACATGATGTTATTTGTACTGTAAAATGACATAAGGAAAAGTTATTTGAAACCTTTGAAAGGAAGGTTATAAGTGAGTGAACATTATTTTCTTATAGCAGAAATCATATGCTTCAGAAGTGTTGATTTATGATCATTATCTTCTGCATAGTATATTTAAGATCAAATAATAATATTTGTGACCAAATAGAACATCCTGAGAATAGAACTATTAACTGGCTACAGTGTGCAGTTCTTTAATTTCTTTCAACTTGCTTTTCTAATACCGGTATTTTGTCCATTTACCAATGAGGGAGTCTCTACAAGGAGATAGTTGGACAGAAGATTAAATTTTCTTTCTTAAAGCTGTAAATATAATTAAAGCATTGACTTCAGCTGATTGTTGTCAGTAGCAAAATGTTAAATCTGCAAATTATACAATTCACCATCACTTTTTTCCCCAGGTATGTAGTAAATACTGGTCTTGTAAATACTGTTTTTTTTCCAAGAATTTCTCCTGATCCCCTGATGCTCAGAAGTTGACTTTGAAATGTACGTGTTCATGCCTGCAGAGAATTTGCATAGTGTGGTAGATTCCGGAAGAGTCTAGTTTTTCCACTATATGCCTATGAATATATGGATTGTGCAAGGTCAATCAGAAAGAAGGAGTGATATCAATATAGCTGGGATATACACAATGACTCTTCAAAATATAATGATAGGCTCCCACAATCTGCTTTCCTTCTGAGATTTAGATACGGGCTGAAGGCTGAACAAAGACTTGAATTTCTCAAAGACTAGAATGTTCCCTCACCCCAAAATGGGTGAGAGTGAAAAATTATAAGCAAACAGGACATAACTGAAGTGTTCTGATTTGTGGGTTTTAAGTTTTCAATCCGCCCCCCTTTTTTTTTCCAAAAGAAAAAGAATGTTAAACTATTCTGTGGATTTTGTTGTTGTTGGTTTTGTCGTTGCAAAATTGTCCAACTTACTTTATATATAAAATCTATTGATTTAAATATATTCAACACAATGCACTTTCCACAATAATTTAATAATATGTTCTGGCACTCCGGAGACCAGTTGGAAAAGGCTAGATTAGGTCAGGCATCCAGTGAATTCTTCCTGGGGGGAAGATTTTACGCTATGCCCTCTTTTGCAGTCAAACTATCAGCTTCTCTCAGAATTGCTGCCTCTGTTTCAGATGCCATCGTATCTTTGCACAAAAGCTTCAACTCTTGTGAGACCGTTCATTTGAAATAGTATGAATAACTTTTTAAAGAAGAAAAGTTGTAACATTTTAAAATCCACATACAGTAGTATAAGAAGTTGAACTTAATTATTGGTGATTCCATTTAGTACAATGGCAATAATACAACAGAGAATTGTTTCCCTCTGGAATTTTTTTTTAACTTTCCTCTTTAGCAGAGTACACAGCACTTTTCAGTATTAACTTTTCCTTCTAACCACTTGAAGTTCTTTTGATGCCAGTACTCAGAAATGAATATTGTGTATCTTATGTACGCAGGCGGCTCCCTAGATATATATAGCAAAATAGATTAAGGAAGAATTCCTAAGGTTCTTGAAATGGTAATATGAAATAGGTGAAGAGGATATGTCTTTGCAGCTGCCATTCCTTCTCATTGGTGGCTTGCCTTCCTCTCCACTGGAATCTTTATGTCCTAAATGAATTCTGACCATGAAATCTAGAAGTATCCAATTTTCAGATTTTGCTAGAGGTGTTTGTAGCAGTGAGTAAGAGATGCAGAAACTTGTTTTGGATCGGAGAACTGTTCTGTTATAAGACTTAAAGAAGCATTTAAATATTAAAATTCACATATTTTACTTTATTTTATGGTTTTTCTTCTTAATATTCTATTGTGCACTAAATGAAACTTAAAGATTTATAAGACATTGCATATCAAATATACATTGATACGATGTCAGCAATGTTGGCCAGTCAATGAAGACTTAATAAAAATAGGCCATTCTTGGTCTCCAAATGCATTGCTGAATATTTTCTATTTATGCATCCTATTGTGGAATA